AAAAAAAAAAAAAGAAAAGAAAAAGAAAGTGTTCTCCCAAGGCAGACACCACAGAGGATGAAACCTAGAATTTGAGATTTGGATGCATTTCCCAAAGGGTTGGCGAGGGACACATAAATAGGCCCATCTGTTTTGAAATCCAACATATTGGGTGCCAGGACTTCTAGAGCTGTGGTCTTATTAATGATTTAAAATTCACCATCTCAGGCTGGCCTCCCGTCCTTTGCCCTCACCTTGCTCAGTGGTGTCCACGTACTTGGCTTTACCCTGTACTTTGTTCACTCTCCTAGACAAGTACGCCGTGCGCTTCATCCCCCATGAGAATGGCATCCACATGATCGACGTCAAGTTCAACAGGAGCCACGTGGTTGGAAGCCCCTTCAAAGTGCGCGTCGGGGAGCCCGGACAAGCAGGGAACCCTGCCCTGGTGTCCGCCTATGGTGCCGGGCTTGAGGGGGGCATCACAGGTAACCCACGACCTCGGCCTCTCATCTTTAACTGAGCCCACTCCAGGGCTCAGCCAGCAGGAGCTCTTCAGGCTTCGGGAAGCCTTCCCTGCACTCTCCCAGGGAAGCTGCAGTGATGGACACTTTGGAGCTCTTGATCCCCAGAGTTGTTTTGGGGCATGTGGTTTGACCCAAGATAAGTCTGGAGCAAGGGCTTGATGACTGTATTATCACACCTCATTACTATTTCCTCTGCTTCCCCTGTCTTCCTTGGCCAAGTGCCTTGACTTCAGGGCCAGGACACTGATCGTGAGGGAATACAGCGCCCTGTCTTTGCTTTTGAGGGTTTCTTTGCCTGCAGAGGATTCAGTGTGTGTCACGGGCCTCCTGGGAGGTCTCCTGCCCTCCGTTCCTTCAGCAGTCCTGGGCTCAGAGAAACAACCTTGAATCTGCAGTAGGACCTGTCACGGTCTATCTCTCCCTTTTAGTTTCTGGTCCTTGGGGAGGAGGAGAAAAGACGGTGGCAAAGAATTCTAGATCTTTTTGGACTCGTTACAATCTTTTTAGTCTTTGCCATGGATGGGGTACATTTGACTGTGAAAGAGGCAGCAGGGGTGATATAAATGCAACTGGCTCCGTCTCCTTGCTTCTCCCTCCTTCCATCTAGACCCAGGAGGGAACACCACCGGTGGTTCAGGGGAGGACCTTCCGACTGCCTGTATCTGTCGTCCTCATGCATGGTCGCTTAGCTAGTTGGCTTGTTAAAAAGGTAGACATAGAGTTTGGCTCTTAATATACAGAAATAGTCTTGGTGCTCGTGCTGTTGTACGTTTTCCACTTGGCATCTTAAAGAACTTCCTGTGTCAAAACACAGATCTATGCCCTTTGTAATGGCTTCGGTAAGTGTTCATCCCGTGAGCCTCGAGGCGGGGTGGGTGACTGGTACGGAGAGTGCCGGCACGGGGAGCTTGTCCACTCAGACTTCTCTGCAGGGCACGTCCGTAGACATGGGCGCACTGGGACACGGTTTGCAAGGGCCTTTGGAAGGCAGTCCAGTCCCGGCTCGAGTCCCTTGTGAGTCTCCCCCGATGCGGTGAGTTGGACAGAGCAGACCCGCCTCACGTGGGCAAGGAGACGGGTGGCTGTGGTTACTTGGCATCCAGCCCTAGGGAGCCAGTGTCCTGAGTGGCCCGAGGGGCCCTGCCCAGGTCCAGGCATCACTGACAGGCTGGCTTGCCACCCCGAGCTCTGGTCATAGCAGTGGCCTCAGAACCACCCACGGGGGTGGCGTAAGTGCTTCTGGACTCCCGAGACCCATCCGGTCCGGCTCCACACGGAACTGTGGGCCAGCAGCTTGCCCTTTATAAGAGGCATGGTAACACTTCACCCTATGCCACTCCATTTCACAGATGAAGAAAGTGAGGCTCAGAAGGGTCGAGTCACTCCCTAAGCTTACTTAGCTGGGAGGGGCCAGAACCAGGCATCAGTCCAGGTCCATGACCTCAAAGCCTGTGTCCTTAACCCCAGAGTTTCACTGCCTAAGTGGCTGGCTCACTCAGTGATAGTGAACCTAGTGGGCCACTTTGTAGAGTATCCTAAACCAGGACCTCTGTTCTCCCAGCTGCCTGGAATAGTCCCCAGGCAGGAGTGCAGGCATTTGGACCCTGGCAAGCCACCTGCTTGACGGGGGGTGGGGTCTTCCCGGCATTTGGAGCCACGCACACCTTGGTCCGGGTCCCATAGCAGCCACTGAGGGCTCCCGCAGCTGCCGGCAGCCACCTTACCCTCTTGCTGGGTCACACCTGCTGCGTTCGGGGCCTCATGCTGCCTCGTGGCTGCTCGCATGCCTTCTCGGGAGCTTGGGTTTCAGGCTGTGCTTTGCAAGAGCCGAATGCCACTGAGAGGAGCCAGTCTTACGGGGAAACTCCCAGCCAGGAGGGAGAGGTACAGAGCATGCCGGTTTCAAACCCTGTGTAAATATTGCTCTTGTCAAGGGGAAGACGTCTTGTTTTTCTAGCCCTCCTGCTTCCGAGCCTTTCCCCAAATATCCATCCCAGGATTACACAGCTGCAGTGTGCATGGAATGAAAAGGTATCTGTGCTTGGCTGCTGGAGGGCCTGGCATCCTGACCTGCAGAATAAAGCAAACTTCCCTGTGTTTTTATGGGTGGGCTTGTTGTATCTCTTGGCTTGAGCTTTAAATGGTCCATTTTGCAGGTTCAGGAGCAGGGGAATGTGGAGAATTTGGGGTGGGACTGTCTGCTTGCCGAGGAGCTGAGAGGTCAGGCCTTAGACCAGGGGGTTCTCGATGCTCTGGATTGGAAGACCAGTCTTCCTGATAAAATGCTCCAAGAACCCCAGTGTGCACGAGGTGGGACCGAAGAGCCTCCTTCCCTCCCCTGCCCCCTCGCCCACCTTCACGATGGAGTAGGGCTGCCGTAGACATGCATTAGCCACATGGGGGCTTGCAGGGGGGGAGACTGCCATGCCCGGAGATGTTTGGGGGTATCGTGTTGGTTCTAGTGGAAGCAGTCGGCAGAGGGACTCCTGCACGTGGATTTTCTTTCTCCTCACTTCTCAGGCAAGTGCCTTAGCTCCACACTGGACAGATCTTGTGTTTAAATCCCAGTCCTGCCATTCCCAAGCTGTGTGACTTAGCGCAAAGGATTTGACCTTACCAGGCCTCCACTTCCTGTAAAATGGGAAGAAGGGAGCCCACCCAATAGGTTGTTCCAGGTAGCTCTTGCCTGTCCTTCCTTACTTCCCTTTTCCCACCTCTTCTCCCCTGTCTCTTCAGGCCCTCCCGGCCAGGATTCACGGATCTTGATCTTTCTCGAGAAGGGAGCAACTTGTTAAAATGCGTTGGGCTTCTTTCCCCTGAAGCCGGGTCTTTTCATCTTCGCTTTAAAAATATCTTTCCTTATCGTCGCCTTGCAGCTACTTCCTGGAAATGCCGTCCCGTGCGCCACCCCTCCCTTGCCTGCACAGCCTAGCTCTTGCCTGCACGGTGTAGAAACAAGGTTGAGATAATCGGGTTGTGGGGGGCGGGGGCAGGCTGGGACAGGAGCCTCAAGAGCTTCCAGAAGCAGCTGGGTTGTGTTTGGGGGTTGCAAGATAGCAGCGCCTTTGTTTTACTGATAGCCAGAACAATAATTCTTTCTCTGGCCTGGGAGCTATAATTAAACCCAAATAGTTCCCAGCTGGGGCGGCGTCCAGGGCTCTGGAAAAAAAGCTCTGCCCTGCGCAAGGCTGCTGTGCCAGGGATGGCCCATAGAGGGCACTGTAGCGGGCAGCCCTCACCGACCACCTCATCCCTGTCTGCGCGGGAAACGGGCCTGAAGGAGTGGAGGCTTCTGCAGGACATTGGGCTCAGGCACGAATGTGCCATGGTCATTGGTCGGCCCAGCTTTTCTCTCGTCACAAGGCAGGACGTCCGTGCAGGAGTCCCCTGTGGGCCGGGCAAGAGGCTCCCGGGCCACATGGAATTGTTCATACCCCGGTTCTACCAGTTTCCTAGTTCATAGCGCTGCCTGGCAAGTGCCCGAACCTCCCTGAGCCTCTGTCATTTGTTAAACAGGAAGCACTGGGCACGTAACGGGATGCTTACTGTGGGACCTGGAGCCCGCACGGTGCGAGTATGGCTCAGTTAGCAGGAGCCGCTGTTTTGGCCCTATTCTTGTTGCTGGTGTTCATGGCAAAGTGGGGGGCTGGCAGATTGTAGCAGCTGCCCCGGTCTTTAGCGTGGTGACTGGGGCAAGGAGCCTGTGGGGGAAGAAGATGATGCTGGGCCTGCTCGGCTTCTCCAAGTCCACTCAGGGGAAAAAGGAAAGGTCAGAGGGGCCCACGCACCCCGCCCCCCGCCCCCTGCCCCCCTGGAGGCAGGGCTGAGCCCCCGGCAGCTGAAACAGCATTTCAGGCTGACAATGAAGACTCCGGCTTCTTGCCCTCAGCCACTGTGCCTGCCCAGGGGCGAGAACAGGGTGTCCTGGCGGTTGGTGCTGGTGGGCGAAATGTCAGCCACACTCTTGCCTCTGCCTTGGAAAGGGAGGCCCTCTGTGCCAGGAGCTCAGAGCTGGTATGGGTGGGTTCGCCCGCCACCGAGGCTGCCTCTCTGTGGGGGAACCTGTGTGTCCCCCCCTCACTGCTTCAGTGCCCCTGGGAAAGCTCCCCAGACCACACCCCCCCCATCCCTTCAAACCAATATGACATTCCCTCTTCCTTTCTCCCAGGTATCCAGTCTGAATTTTTCATCAACACCACCCGAGCAGGGCCAGGGACATTATCTGTCACCATTGAAGGCCCGTCCAAAGTTAAAATGGATTGCCAGGAGACCCCAGAAGGGTACAAAGTCATGTACACCCCCATGGCTCCTGGAAGCTACCTGATTGGCGTCAAATATGGCGGGCCCAACCACATTGTGGGCAGTCCATTCAAGGCCAAGGTGACAGGTAACAACCAAATAGCTTTGAAGTTACTCTTTTTTCTATGGAGCGTGTCTTATCAGATTATCAGCAGTAAACTGTGGGTAATTTTAGATATTCTGAATCTACTTTGAATCTTGAATGTAAAGAAATGGTAGGACATGCCAGGGGAGTAAACATCTTTAGAAGCCTGTGGGTGTGTGCTAGCATCATCCCCCTACAAAATAATGAGTGTAGAAATTGAAAAAATCATGTTTTCTTTTTTTAACAGAAAAGAAAATATTTACATATTTGGTATCTTAACGTATTTGTTTAGATAGGGACCTGAAAAATACCCTTATTTCTAACCTTCACTTTTAAAATAATCAAAAGGTTTTATTACATTTACAAAAATGGGCCTCCTTCAGGACACTAGAAAAAATACCAGTCAAAACCACCTCACAGGTGGTGCCTGGGTGGCTCAGTCGTTGAGCGTCTGCCTTCGGCTCAGGTCATGATCCCAGGGCCCTGGGATCAAGCCCCGCATCGGGCTCCCTGCTTGGCGGGAAGCCTGCTTCTCCCTCTCCCACTCCGCCTGCTTGTGTTCCCTCTCTCGCTGTGTGTCTCTGTCAAATAAACAAAATCTTTAAAAAAAAAAAAAAAAAAAACCCACCTCACAGCCCACGGCCCAAGGTAATCATCATAAATATTGTGGTAAATCCCTTCCGCAGGTCTCTGCTCGGTTCACTGTTGTTTAGCTTCATTGCAGAAAAATTAAAAGATTCAGATAAAAAATCATCCTCTCACAGGCAGAGAGAATCTTTTTTGTTATTTTGTTATATGTTCTCCCCAACATATAACATTGCTTTTACACTGTTTATACATGAGTATTTTATCTCAGTGGAAAAGAGGTAAATTCTGCAGGGTGGCACGAGGTTATGTGGGAGGGATTTCCAGGCTTTGTCGTTTGCCTCGCTGTGTGGGGTGGGACCCAGGGGTTTGGAAGACATTATGGGGGTGAGATGGGGAGATGGTAATGTTTAGCTCAGGTGTTGGGGATGCGGTAGCTTTGGGATCCAGCTGTCAGGGTGCAGGGACTTTCCCGGGGCTTCTACCCAGGGCACTTGCCTCTTCTAGCTGAGAGGACCTACTGCTCTGGCCATTAACTCCTCCCTCCGCCCCCTCCCATCTTCTAGGCCAGCGTCTGGTCAGCCCTGGCTCTGCTAACGAGACCTCGTCCATTCTGGTGGAGTCCGTGACCAGGTCATCCACAGAGACCTGCTATAGTGCCGTCCCCAAGGCATCCTCAGACGCCAGCAAGGTGACCTCCAAAGGGGCAGGGCTCTCAAAGGCCTTCGTGGGCCAAAAGAGCTCCTTCTTGGTGGACTGCAGCAAGGCTGGTAGGTAGCCTGGTCCTGCTCGAGGGTTAGGGTGGAGGCGGGCTGAGGACCCTCTGCTAACTTTAGTCTTCCCTGCAGTGCCCACCTGCCCGTGCACCCCAAATGTTTACAAGTAACCTTGCTCATTACCCCACTCTCCTGCACTTAATATTTTCAAACGATTTTCCTCTTTTGACTCTTGATTCTTTCAAATGCCCTCAAGGTAGACCGGAAAGGTGGCATTATCCCCATTACAGATGGGCAGACTGAATCAGTAACCCGGCCCCTTCTCTGCCAATAATTGCTTAATTGCAGTTTGAACTTGGGTATTTATTTGGGTGTCAGTGGTTAGTTGCCTAGGTTCTGGCATCTGGCACATCTGGGCTGGAAACCTGGCTCCACTACTTCTCTCTTCCCCCCTCCCTCCCTCCCTTCCCCAAACTGAGCCATGTGATCTTGGGAAAGTTACTAAATCTTTTTCTAAATGTCAGTTTCTTGCTGTCTAAAATGGGAATAATAAAGTCACCTTCCTTAAGTTCCTAATGAGAATAAATGAGATCGGAGTAGCCATCACTTACATAAACCCTTATTACGAGCTGAGGGCTTCACATACAACTTCTGTAGACCAGGGGGTAGGTGCTGGCATCATCTCCTGTTTACGGATGGGCAAGCTGAGGCAGAGAGAGGCGAAGTTCCACATCCAAGGTCCCCCAGCTAGGAGGTGGCAGGCGGGGATTTGAACTCATGCCATCAGGCTCTGAGTCTTTGCTTGTAATTGCCTTGCCATCTCACCTCTCAGAGGTTCCAGCGTCATTGTAGAATCTCAACAGGCAATAGTTGGTATATTTCCTTTGGCTCCCACTTCCCCTCCCCTTCCTCTGCCTTCCATGATGCATCCTGACGGAGTAACCACCTTTCTTTGCCTCCCAGGTTCCAACATGCTGCTGATCGGTGTCCATGGGCCAACCACCCCCTGCGAAGAGGTCTCCATGAAGCACGTGGGCAATCAACAATACAACGTCACATATGTCGTCAAGGAGAAGGGAGATTACGTTCTGGCCGTGAAGTGGGGAGAGGAACACATCCCTGGCAGTCCCTTCCATGTCACGGTGCCTTAAAACAGTTCTCGTCAGATCCTGGGAGGAGTTCTGGTGGTTGCTTTTGTTGCTTGTTCGTAACTTGTTTTATACAAAGTTTTCCTCCAGGCTGTTTGTGGGTCTGAAACCCCATCCCGAAAACATTGCCGTTCTAAAGTGCCTTGAGAAATAAGTCCTAGACTTGACTCTTTAGGGACGCGCTGGGGACTCTTAAGAAATGCATACTCATGCATGAGCTGAGAAGATTTCCAGGCATACTCGGTTCAGATCCGACCTCTTGCTGGCACAGATCACCCCCTGCAGACAGACCAAGGTCACTCGCAAGACTGACATTTCTAAAGAATGAAATTGGCTAGCCCATCTGTGAAACGAGACTGGCAGGGAGGGACAGGGCAAAGAGGCGACCTACTTGAGGCTGGCATTTAGAAGAGGACCAGCAGCCTACCCCATAAAAGGCTCTTAGGCAGACGCCATTGTTTCAACACTACTCCTCTCCACACCCCTGCCCGCTCCGTGGCCTTTGTACGCATCTCAAAGGGAAGCGGCTACATGGTGGCAGACTGGCCTCCATGCTTCCTAGTGCCTTTCCCCTCGTTCTGCTGAGTATTTCCCTGCAAAGTTGTAACGTGCCCATCTTGGCAGCTACGTTTTGCTTTTGTCTTTAAAGGCCATTGAAGTCTCTGGGTCTGAGGAAATTCTGCTGGGGCAAGCAGCCCCCTCCTGCCAAAGATCCCTTTTTTTTTTTTTAACCAACACGAGCCTTTGTTCTTAACACACACTCCGGCCATTTGTCAGTCTGATGAGGCTTGCCAGCACGTGCGAATGGCCGCAGGTGGGTCACCGTGTCACCGCCCTCATCTGCAGAGGCCTATCACCGGGCAGAACACTCCACACCCACCTCCAGTCAGCCGTGGGATCACTTCTGGCAAATAACTATAGATCGGAAAGAATGGAACTCCTGCTGACCTTTGGCCTCAAAGGGCGCTGTGGAGGGCGTGGGAGGGACAGCAGCAGCTCCCTGGTGGTCTTCTGTCACTGGGCACAAGTGACAGCTGCAGAGCTGACGGGGGCTCTGTATACATTTGGCCCTGACTGCGTCATCTGAGGCTGTTTGGAAAGCAGTGCGCAGGGCCCAAATTCCAGAAACGGGGTGTGAGACATTTTGCACCCCTTTCTGCAGACCTGAGCTGCCTTCAGGATAAAGTGAAAGCCTTCGGGGCCGCACCCTGACTTCAGGGCCCTGGTGTGCGGTGTGGTCTGGGCCGGCAGACCTTTTTGATTTGCGGCTCCATCCTGAGGAAGTGTCACGGGTGCGTCCGTGGGTGGGACCGGGAGCGAGGGGAGGGGACCATCACCAAGATGCAGCAGCAGGGGGCAGGTGGTGGCCACAGCCCACCTCTTAGACACCAGAGCAGCCCGAAGCCTAATGTGAAAGGGCCACAGGTTTTGTAAACTGGGACGTGGAAGCGAAACTGGAATCAAATGCCGACTGTAAATTGTATCTCATAACTTATTAAATGTTTGCTCCGTCAAGCTCCCCTGGTGTTCTTGGGGGGTGGTGTTTCAGAATAAATGGTTCGAGTCTCTGACCAGCCCTCCCTGCCGCTGGCCGAAAGGACACAGGTTGGCGGCTTGCTCTGACGGTGAGCCTGGCCTCTGTTTGCAGGGGGGAGGCTTTTCCGTGAGCCCCGCTGGCAGGGTATCCTCAGGAGAGGCCAGGCGGCCAGACGGGCCGGGACACCGACACAGCCTCTAGGAGAGAAAGCCGCCTTCCCGATGACAGAGATACTCTCATTCTAGGGAGTTGACTCAAACAAGAAGCTAGGTCACCTGTCCTCCCAGCTGCCCTTGGACAACAGGGTTCGTGTGTGGTGTTCGTCTTCCTCTCCCTGCTCCTTCCTTCGGCTGGGAAGAGCTTGTGCCTGACGGGGCGCTTAGGATACCTCCCCCCTCCCCTCCTCCTCACCCTCACGGCGCTCCCGTGACCCCACTTCGCAGTGTTGATACCGACTCAGGTGCTGAATGGACATGTCACTCGGGGCAGACCCTAGGCCCTAGCCATTTTGTCCCCAGAATGGAGGCTCTCCCTCCCTGGTTATACCCCTGTGGGAGCAGAAAGGGCACCAGGAGCCCCCAGATGAGCCCCGGGAAGTCCTTGCTGGGCCCCTAGCCCTCCACTGGGGGTGAGGGGTGGAGGGAAAGTCAGGGAAGGAAGACGGGCTCCTGTTGTGTGTTTCTTCCTGTCACCTCCTTGTTGATCAGGATGGAGGCTTGTTTACCTCTGAGAGGTGGGAGGAAAGGAAGTTTTCCCTTGCCCCTCCTGGAGGGAGCCCCCTTGTCTGTGGGCCTGTGCCGGGGATGACTGTTCCTGGGCTCCCTGAGGGGTTTGTGGCTTGGGGGGTGCTGTCCAGGCTCTGCCTGGTGATGCTGACCTTGCCCAGAGAGGAGCCCAGGGGCACAGGTGCTGGTTTCAGGCCCGGGAAGTCTGGCTGGTTTCTGTTGGGGAGGCAGCACGTCTCTGTCCCCAGCTGGACCTGGGCATCAGGTAGAGTTGGAACGTGGGCTCGGCCGCTCGGTGGCGGTACGGCCTCGGGGAGGTGGCTTCCCCTCTGAGACCATGCCTCCCTCAGGGTGGTGGTGAGGAGCGCACGAAATCTCTCTCCGAGCTGTGAGTCTTGGTCACAGCTGTCTGTGACCGACCCCTGCCAGGGGGTGCCGTTCTTCATTCAAGGCCGCACCTGGGGCTGCCCTGGCGGGTCCCTGCCTGTGACATCACCCACGACCCAGGTGGCCAATGGCTAGAGCCACAGGGCAGCTCTTCTCTGCATCTGGACTCGCTGCCAAGGGAACGGGCCGCTATTTGTGCAAACACCTCCATGACTTGAAACTCGACCCTGAACAGGTACCAGGCAGGCCCTTTCTGACTTTCACCAGTTGACTTGGCCCCTTTCCTACCAGGGGCTGACTGAGCCATCACTCTTTCGGGGCCAGCAGAGGTTAAAGCAGACGGTGTTGGCAGCTGACGCTCAGAGATCCTCGACCCAGAGAGGCCCGGTTCCCTTGCAAGCGCCTATGCGTGTCCCTCCCTTGGCCGGCTTCCCTCTGCAGCCCGCGGAAGCCCTCGGCAGTGCTGCCCAGAAGGAAGCAGATTAACGTGTCTGTTTCAGTGCATGGGCCCTTGGCCACACGTCTGAACTTCAGACTTCAAAGGGGCCTTGAAAGCCACATCTTGATGAGTTTGGTGTAAAATGAGTCAGGCACTAGGGATTTCATTTCCCCTAAAAATGGCACCACCTTAAAAAATAAGCAGAATAAACGTAAATGGCAAAGTGAGTGGTTGATCCTTGTCACCACCACCCCCAAGTTTGTATTTTCAAATGGGGAACAAGCTCATTAAGTGCTCTTTGGGCTTAAAGCTCCGTCTGATGGAAGCAGGGTCTAGGAAAGTAATGGAAACTTTTCAAATCCCCATTAACTTGGAGGGGGAGGGGCTTTGTAATCAGGGTATTCCACTAATGAAAACTCTCGCCCAGAAACACGTCTTGTTTAGCTAATTTTTTTTTCTCCTCACAATGGCAAATCATAACTCGAAGAGGGAGTAAAAATGTCACATGGCTCAAGGCAAACGTGAATTCAAATTTTTCCCTTCTGGCTTTGTCTTAAGGATGCTGACCAGACACAAGGGTGGGAGGAAATGTGAAACAAAGGGATCCTTTCTGCTTTGTGATAAGGCTTTTGTCTGGGTCCCTGAGCCCACAGAGGACCAACTCATATGCAAGGAATTTAGGGTGGCCCACCCCACACCCCTTCTCTCTGACTCAAGAGCTCTCCAAAGCAGGCAGGCAGGAGGTGGGGAATTACGGCTTGTGGCCAAGGGTGACTTACGGCTCGGCTCGTGGCCAAGGGTGTTTTGGACTTGCTTATCTCCGCAGGACAAAGCTCAAAGATGAAAGAATATTCAAGCCTTGTATTGCCCACATTACTCCCTCTGCCATAACCACCGCCTTCCCAAGGCATCAGGATGCCTCTCCCAGTGCAAAGCTAATGCTGAACCCTGGAGGCGGAGGGGGGGGGGGTTGTCTCTGAGAAAGAGGAAATCTTGGCAGAGGCGCCACACCCCAGAAATGCCAGCCTCGGGCCCAGCTCCAAGCATTTGGCACCAGTAGCTGCAGAGTAGCCTGGTATGTGAGAAAAGCCCAGAAAGCAGCTAACTCCAAGTTCAAGTCTAGATTCAGTCCCAGCTCTGCGGCTTACTGCCTCAGACACCCCCTGGCTCTTCATCTCCCCAAATGTCCCAAACTTCTTCATAGCGCTCATTTTACAGCTGGGAAGACTGAGGCACAACGGGCAAGTCTAGACAACCTTACCCTTTCTTGCCTTGCAGACTGGGAGTCCCAGTATGGAACATTCTTCCTCTACTCTTTGCCTAGCTAACTCATGTTCATAGTTCAGGGCTCAAAGGGCACCTCCTCCAGGAAGCCTTCTCTATGCCTCAGTGCCCTCATCCATGAAATGGGAAAGTGGGAAGCTTCCATTCTAAGCTTAACCTCTAGAAAGACCTCCCAATGCATCCATCCTCCAGCTGGCTGGCCAAGTCCTTCCCCACCCAGATCTGCTAGAATAGGGGCTGCCTGCATGTTGGGGAGACTCAGTTCCCCAAGGCAAAGTGGAAGGGGTACCTCAATGAGGGGAAGGGAGCCTGTGGGGAATCTATTAAGCATGGTGGTTCAAAACATGGGCCAGTGGGTTCAAATCCTGCCCGGCCATGAACTCCAGCAGATCATTTACCCTCCAGAGACTCTTACAGCCTCTGTTTTCTCTCCAATGAAATGGGTACTAGAACCTACCCTATATATAGTGTTCTGAGGGTTAACTGACAAAATGAATGTAAAGAACATACCACAGTGTCTAGTACCTGATAAGCCTTCATAGAATTACTACTGCTGAGAGGTGCTTAAGAGGATTCTTCTATATGGAGAGCTTAAATCCAGGGGGGGGCTACTTTAAGGACACAAATAACCATAAATAGGAGAGGCACTTGGGCTGGAGACAGAGCCAGGGACTGGAAACTGGGGTGGGAGTCATCAGTGGGAGTGGATGGGGTGGCCAATGGCAGTACTAGGAGCAGGGTGGATCCCTGGTGGCCCGGGGGAATGGCCAGAAAGGTGGGAGGAGAGCTAGGTGAGTCAGGTGCACTGGGGAGAGCCCCAGCTCACCTCCCAGCCTCCCCTGGTTTCCCCTTCAGTGACCCCTTTCCCTTAGCAGAAGCCGAGGCCAGAGGCAGGCCTGGGGCTGCCACCACACCTTCCCAGGGGTTGCGGGATGGGTTTGAAGTGAAGAAATCTGGAGTAAACAAAGTGTAGTAAGTAACACTAATGCTAGGCTCTGAGTCTTACGATTACTCGCATTTTTTTACAGGGGCATTTCCCGGGGCACAGAGAGGTTAAGTGACCCGTGCAAATGTAATGGTCAAGGCTGCGTTAAAAGCCAGAAAGCCTGAATTTAGGGAGGAGGCCATGAAGCCGTGCCCTGCACGCAAGGGCCTCGCCCAGGTGGGCGCTTGGAATCCAAAGGCGACTCTCCTTGTGAGCCAAACTCTGTCCCTGAGCCCGTTGGAAGGCAGTACTTTTGGGGCGCCTTTCTACACCCTTCCACCCCACTCCCCTCTTTGGGGAGCTTGTCCACCCCTCAGTGCAGCCCCCATCTGGCCCGCGGCCAGAGCCTGTTGTCAGGACTGCCATTCCGACTGTCGTTGCCGTAGTGGCCGCCAGGGGTCGCCTTGAGCGCGCGAACGGCGGCACCGAAGAAAACCCTGCGGTACGGGGGGGCACCGGGTCTTCCAAGGCCCAAAGGAGCACACCCACCTCTGCGCTCGCGCTCGAGGCCCCGGTCCTTACCTGCCTGGAGCTGGGGCGGTCTGGGTCGGGGAGGCTTTCTTGAGTTCCGGGGTCAGACCCCGCCCCACAAGCGTCTGACACCAGGGTCCTGCCACCCCCAGCCCTCGCAGCTCCTCCGACTTACCTCCATCCGTCCTTCCTTCCTTGCCTAACACTCCCGGAGGCAACAGAACGAACGTGAAGTCCGCCGACTCATCCCTGCCTTGAGCACTTTTTCGAGCACCAACTGTATGCCAGACAATACCCCCGGAGGTACTGGAGACACGAGGTTGAGCAGGACAGGACCCAGAACGGGAGCTCCGTGAGGGAGGGAGGGTTTGTCAGCACTGTTCACTTGCAGCTCCTGGCGCACAGAAGCCCTCAGTACCCAAAGCATGTTTGGTGCTTACAGCCTGCTCAGAGAGCCTGGATTAAAAAGGTGATTGCACAATTCATCGGTGACCGCTGTGAGTGCTCCAGACGAGCTATACCAGGCCCAGGCTGTTTTACTTAACCGGCTGGATCTTAATCTTCCCTAATGTCCCACACTTCATAGCCCTCATTTTACAGCTGGGAAAACTGAGGCACAGGCGGCAGTCTAGACAGCCCTACCCTTTCTTGCCTTGGGAGTCCCAGTCTACAACATTCTTCCGCTACTCTTTGCCTGGCTAACTCATGTTCATAGTTCAGGGCTCACGCAAAGGGCACCTCCTCCGGGAAGCCTTCCCTGATCATCTCCCCAGTTCCGTGCTCCCCATCCACCTGATTATGGGTCTGTCTCCCCTTCTGGACTGTGAAACCCTGAGGGCGGGAAGCATGTAGACTCCGTTCCTCCTCATCTACCTTTAGTACCCGGCTCAGTGCCTGGCAACAGGGTCAAGAGCGAATGAATGTTTGTTGAATGAAGAAACGAGAGCGAACGGAGCAGAGGGTGGAAAGGTGAGTGGCCCCAGGGCACTATGGGTAACCTCCTCACTGGTACTCACGCTGGTCACCCCTGCAGGGCCCCGGTGGGAGAGGCACAGGGTGTGAGGGTCCTGGAGGCTGATGTTATGGTGCTGCTGGGTGACCGGTGGGTCCTCCTCTGCCCGCCCCCGCCCCCTGCCGGGCCTCCCACATGATGCTGTCGCGTTCGATGGGAGAGTTCTGTGTCTGTAACGCAGGGGTGCGGGGTTTGGCGTCCACCCCCGCGTGACCAAATGAACATTGCTGAGCCTCAGTCTCCTCATCTGGAAAAGCGATGGCAGAGAGGCTGTTAGCGAGTCACCGTGAGGGGTCCACTGAGTGGGATCCCTCAGTAAAGCCTCCAGCGCGGGGCCTGGCACGAGTAGCCCGGGTGTGCCTGGGGCAGGCGCCGAGTTCCCGCAAGCCTCCCTTTCCCCACCAGGAGACGAGGCTGACGGCAGCCCCGGCAGCTGAGGAGGGTGGTTTCAGGCAGGCGGAGCTCAGCACAGCAGCCGGCACCCGGCGGGTCCCCGCGAAACGGCGGCTGACGTTGATGGGAGGCCTCCTCCGCGCCAGGCGCTCTTCCAGGTTCTTCTACCCTGGCCTAATGGCATTCTCCAGCCCAGAAGTAATTCCCACTGTCATTCCGACGTTCCAAGGACGCCAGGAAACTATCAAATGTCGGAGCTGAGCTGGAGGAGTCGGAGTCCAGAGTTTCCATGGCAACCCCAGCCACGTGTCCAGAGCTTCCCGAGGGTGGACACCGGGCCTCCCTTTGGACTCCCTGGGTGCCTGGTGCACCGTAGGTGCGCCTCAGGGTTTGCTGAATGCACTAGAGGCCACAGCCCCCCCTGCATCTCCCCGGGACCCTCTGAGAGCGGGGTGGGGGAAGCCTTGGGCCCCGAGTCCCCCTGGGGCAGAATACAGCCTCCTGCCAGACACCGTGGGTGGGCTGTGGCCAGGCTTTGCTCCCTTTTCCAGCCCGGTCTGTCCTGTTGCCTGCGAGTGGCCCGGCCCCCTGAGCAGCCCAGCCCCCGCCCCCCCCCCATCCCCAAGCAGGGCCCTGGCCACCCGGCCCTCATTGGCTGCGTGTATCCTTGGAGACAGGCACCAGCAGAGCAAACAGGCCACCGGCTGCGGGCAGAAGGGTGCCTCCCTCCCCGCCCCTTCCCCCCCCACCGCCATGAGGGATCTGAGCACCACCCAGAGCCGAGCCTGCTGGCAAGAGCACATCCAGAAGGAGACCACAGCCCGGGGCGCCTGGAAGATCAACTACGGCCACAAGTACCTGAAGGAGGGGCCCATGCCCAGGAAGCGGCTCCAGCGGGCCCGCCTCAGGTTAGCCTTGGGAGCAGGGCCCTTGGCTGTCACCAGCTCCCCTGAGAGCAAGGAGGTACAGGATGGACGGCCAGAGACCAAGGGGGTCCGGCATCAGCTGTCCAGGGGAGTGGGCGCCCAGGGCTCCCCGCCCAAGGGAGACAAGGTCTGGGAGGCCCAAAGAGGCCCTCAGGGTCCAGCAGTCCAGACCAGGCCAGAGGGCTTAGAAATGTGGCAGGTCCCCCCCAGCACCCTGCAGCTGCTCTTCCAAGGCATCTCCCACGACGGCCAAGGCCGGGCCTCGTACCTCCGCGAGCGGCATCGGAGAAGCCGGAGAAGTTTCTGTACCCGATCTTGTCATCCTGGGAGTACGGCTGGCACATGGGTAAGGGCTGCCACGGTCTTGCCACTCCAGGCCTCTGCCGGCAGGCCGGGCCTTCTCCGCCCCAGGCCTGTCCTTAATTACCCTGCAGGCACCAGCCTATCCCTCGGGTGCACCCTTCTCCGAGCAGGCCCCACGCCTTCACACCTTCAGGCCTTCACACATTTTCCACCTGGAATGTACCTCCTGCCTCTTCCTCTGCTCGCTAACTTTCACATGTCACCTCCTCTGGGAAGTCCTCCGAAAGTCTTCCAGGCAGATTTGAGTCCACCCTTGTGCTTATGCAGCTTATTGCGTCTACAAAAGCGCTGGGCCCACTGTGTTCCTTGAGTATCCATCTGGCCTAAGGAGCCCTTTGGGTTCCAAACTTCTTAGTTAATTTTATTAAGGCCCCCCCAATCCCCAGCTTGGGACTGGTACTCTGTGACCGTGGAATGAATGAACAAATGAATGAAGGTAGAACTAGGGAATGAGGCCTTGGTTTGGAATCAGGAAGTGCAAATTCAAATCCTGGCTCCTCCCCTTGGGAGCTGTGTGAGCTCAAGGAAGAACCTTAACTTCACTGGGCCTCAGTTTCCACATCTGAAAAATGGGACTATACTAATACCTGCCTTCCTATGTCACAGAGTTTTGAGGAAATCACATGGGAAAGCACCTTGAACAGAAATTTTCCTCACAAAAGCCTCACGAGGTGGGTGGGAGAGACATTCATTCATTCGACATGTGATGCTTTCATTCAGGACAGCCCAGGGAGGGAGATCTGGAATCACCGAATCCCAGCTCTGCCCCAACATGAGTTAGCAAATGAACAAGCACAGAAGAGGGACTCAGTTTGAAATTAGGGGGCCTGGGTTTGGATTCTGGTCTGTTCATTCTTTCATTCAACAAAGGTTTAGTGAGCACCTGATATATATCAGGCCCTTTGTGTCCCTGGGGATACAACAGGAAATGTGAGTGTTGATGCTGTAGAAGGAGATCAGTCAGGAAAAGGAGAGGAAGACCCAGGGGCTCCTGGGGTAGACAGGTGGTCAGGGAGGCCTGCTGGGAGGGGACGCTTGAGCAGAGGCCTGAGGTGTTTCCACGCCATCAGATTCTCCTGAGGAGGGCCTGACTCCCTGGGCCCACAGAGCGAGTCTCAGTTCAGGCGCTATGCCCTCCTCCCTGCCCCCTCCGCTCCTCCAGCCTCCAGGTCTATGCCGCCTGCCGGGGAATCCACTGCTGGGCAAGGGTCACCGCCAGACTCAGCAAATTAAACTACGGGATGCCCGTCCCATTTCAGTTTCGGGTAAACAATAATTGTTTAGTCTAAGTATGTCCTAGATATGGCATGGAACATTCTTAGACTGAAAAATTATTCATCGTTTATCTGAAATTCAAATGTAACTGGGCATCCTGTACTTAATCCAGCAACCCAAACACGGGAGCGGGGGGAGCTGCTTCTGGATGCCTCCCGCGTGCTCGGGCAGTGCTAGGTTCAGGGCAAAGACTGGAAGACTGTTTTCCTCCATAGTCGTTCTGCTTAAGGTCCCAGATGCTCCTAGAATCTCCGGAACATTCTGTAAGCGTCTGGCCTCATGCCCCTAACCCGACCAGTTCAGGGGCTAGATGAGGAACAGTTGAGAGAACTTCTCTGTCTGCGGACCATCTCTCCCCGTTCCCCGACCAGGTTACAGACAGGAGCTGCGTCATCCCCGGGGGTGCAAACAGCCATGGGGGAGTGGGGTTGAAGGCGTTGTCTGGGCCCCAGCTGGATTGTCCCCAAATGCCCTTTTACACACAGAAAGTACCGGTCTAGCGCCTGGCACTTAGTAAGTGCTCAACAAATGGTAACTGGTATTATTATTATTGTTATTATTAGGAGTTCAGCAGACAGGACTTGCAGCCTGTGGGCATTTGGGAGCTAGTTCAGCCTTGGCCAGGACCCCGGAGGTTCTTACTGTGAGGCACTGGGATGGAAAGGCTCTCACTAGACAAAAGGGAGAAATGTGATGAGGTTACCCGTAGGTGTGGTGTAGGGATGGGGTCAAAAGAGTCAACCATTGGAGTGACTTGAGTGCCTGCCACCCATCGGGGCAGATCGTGGGCCCAGGGCCAATGCAGGGTCTTGAGGTCCCCATGCTACACCAGGTGTACCGTCTAGTTGCTGGATGCTAAGAAGGAATGGGGGGAGTCAGGTAGGGATCAAGGGGCACAGAGGCAAGCGCTGCTCCTAACTGTACTTCTAACCAGAGCGGTTGCAGCAGGTGTCCGCACTGACCCTCAGCCCTTCCGGCTGGGCCAGGGCTGGCGAGAGGAACGACGGGCCCGGCTCAACCAGGCCTTTGCTGTGTTCCAGGGGACACCATGAAGGACGCCAGGGCTCCAACGTATGCCAGGTGCCAGCCCATCTCAAAGACCTTTTACATCAAAAGTAGCGTCTTCCGGGGCGCCTGGGTGGCTCAATTGGTTAAGCGACTGCCTTCGGCTCAGGTCATGA